ATCAAGTTGGAACAAGTACATATCCATATTGATATTAGAATGGAAATTGATTAAAGGCATTATACACTAGTAAATAGTTTACTTAATTAGTTGTTAAAATATAATTAATTATAAGAAACAATATGAGACAGTGTGTAATACATTATTTTAGAAGCATAATACTAAAGCTTATATATACATATATTTGAAGGAGATTTGTTCTCTGAGCTGGATAGTTTAGTCGTGGAGATTTGCATCGTTCTTCTAAACAACATCATCAGCACAAACTCCGGGTAAACATATATATATCGTAATGGGGGATCATAATACTACTTACCTTTATAGTTTAGTTTCATTCTGCCTAAAAAAGCCTAATAAACTGTATAAATTGTATTTTTTTTAAGTATCAGATTTACTACTTTGGTATTACTTGCAAGATTTCTTATAACATTGATGATAAATGGAATTTAAAATTGAATTCTGAACACTTCTAGTCTGTCAGAACTATTCAAGTTCTTCATGAAAATCTATTGATTTACACCGTACCTTTAATTATTTGTATTTTGTTATTAGTAGTATCAATTTTATATTTTAAAAAATAAAAATAAAATAGCCTTCTGTGGGAAAAAACAAACCAGCTTCCAGCTGAAGAGGACATTAGGAAAAGAAGATGGAAATGGATAGGACATACATTACGCAAATCATCAAACTGCATCACGAAGCAAGCCCTAACTTGGAATCCTGAAGGGAAGCGGAAAAGAGGAAGGTCGAAGAACACGTTACTTCGGGAAATAGGAGATATGAAAAGAATGAATAACAACTGGGAGGAGCTGGATAGGAATGCCCGGGACAGAGTTGGATGGAGAATGCCGGTGAGCGGCCTATGCTCTTTCACGAGGAGTAACAGGCGTAAGTATAAATTTTATCACCTAGACATTCTATTTTTAAATAAAACAAATCAACTGCCTACGTTGGATTAACTTTTCATTCCTTTAAATATTACACAGTGAAAATCTTCCTAATCTCATACATTCATCATGGAATTCTGTTCTCCTTTCTGACGATTCACTTTCGTGAAACAAGGTTTTTTTTCTGATAAATTTAGGTAAGTTTTAATAAAGATTATGAAAATTATACTCTTATATCATATCAGTAGTTTCTCATTATTACTATACTATTCAGGCAAAATATTTCTATTTAAAAAATGATTACAATAAACATATTCCATCTAGTCTTAATGTATATTTGTTCTTGGGGAAATCTAAGTATCAAATATTATTTTGTGACTATATAAATGCAGACGACAAAAAGAAGTAAATTTTACTAAACTGAAATAAAAAATATGGATGTATGATGTTGTGGAGATTGTTGAGTTTTTTTGAAAGCACGAGCTGATCTAAGTTAGATTTGTACATCATTGGATACTGGCTTAAAATCTTAGAGGTTAAGCATTTGCCCGCAAGACCGTAAGTCCTGGGCTCGAGTCCTGCGTGCGAGGTCGTGAATGCGCATCGCTGAGGAGTTCCATACTAGGACGAAACGGCGGTCCAGTACTTCCATGTTTTCAGTGGTGGTCTAGCCTGGATCGACTAGTGATTTTTACCGTGGAAATTGATTGTTTACAATTATTTTAACAGATTAGTTTTCATCAACGGATAGCGAAATTTACAAAGATATCTGATAATCTTACACCAAAAATGTTAAACTTATAAGTAATGGAACAGTATTTCACAAAATATTCTTTTGCTCACATACATTTATAGATCTAACATGAATGACTAGGATATAGCTGGTACCTTGACAGATTTTTCGAGTTTACTTAACCTAACAACCCAACCGAGCTATGTTAGCTAAAATACCTGTTCATACGGTCTTGCCTTGACAAACCGAAAAAAACTAAAAGGAGCAAGTTTTAACCTCTAGGTTTTACTTATACTGTGAGCCATACTAGATTACGGCGATAACATTGTGTTTCCTCGTTCAGTATATTTTATCTCCTCAATTTATTTATATATGATTACTGAATCTTATGAGTTCATAATGTTTTGTGTCGGATCTCTTAGAGTAATTATAATGGTTTGTGTAATTTTATCGGGTTCAAAACATGATACCGGATCTAATACCAACAGATGTATATAATGACTAGCATACAACGACTCCTCAACAATAATATTTGCATGAAAGTACGGAGAGAAAGGATAAGATTTGCTAGAGACTTTATGTGTTTCGAGAAAAGACGATGAAGCAAGTGAACATCACAATACATATATTAATATGCAAAACAAAACGACCGACAGAAATAGGTGTCAGTTATGTGATATCCCCAAGTCTTAATAATACTGTCGTTATGGGAACCTTCATTGTTCGCATGGTAATATTTTTAGTCAACGTATCGTTACTCGAAGTTAGCCTATCATACTCAACATAAAACCTGGTATATTTGTATATCAGTTCAAACTCCCACACCACATTATCATACAAATCCTAGAGTAGTAAAAATAGCAACAGTATCATTGGTAGTAAAATATCTTACACATCGACAGCATGATTCAAGTATTAAGAATGAATTCAAGAAATAAAAAAGTACAAGACAATTTTAAAATTCCAAATCTAAGAGAAGGTAAATAGTGAACGTATATATGTCATCATAATAAATTATGAATCATGTCACCCATTACCTCTGAGCGTTGGTTACAATAATCACACAAACCCCAACACAATTCAAAAAACAGTAAATTTTCTTTGAAACTATGATTCTGCAGAATCATTCATTGCCTAATTACTTAGTTTCTATTACTGATAAAGTTTACTTATCATAATTAACAATTCCTTTCACTCTAATCAACTTTACAATTTTTTCCGATTACTGCTTCTACTCTTACTATCTCTACTACTACGGGATTTGAATCGACAGTTGATAATTAAGCTTAGGAATTAGATTTACGGTTTTTCATAACGAACTTATATCAGTTAAAATGCCGAGACCGATATTTGACCAAATGAGTGAATGAATTCCGCGCGAAAATCCAAGACCTGTTATCCCAAATCTGATTGGTTCGTTCATAAATTATAGTCTTACCGAATTTACTTTAAAACTAGGAATAAAAAACAGTATGATAATATTTGTCTACATATATTTTAAACATGTTCTACTTACATTAAGTTAAAATAGTGATATTCTGTATACATAATTTATTTTAATATCTTAAATAGAATAAAATTAAACAAATATAAAGTATCTTCGAGAGAAAACTCTTGTGAAATTTCTACAATGCATTCATTCATTTGTAATGTAAATTTTGTTTCTAAAAAGTTTACTAAATCTTTCACTAATTAAAAGATGGTACCTACTATGAGAGAATAAACCAACATCCAGCTGAAGAAGAAATTAGAAAAAGACGTTGGAAGTGGATAGGACACACATTGAGGAAATCATCAAACTACATCACGAAGCAAGCTCGAACTTGAAATTCTGAAGAGAAACGTAAAAGAAGAAGACCAAAGTACACACTGCGTTGGGAATCGGAAGCAAACATGAAAAGAATGAATAGTAAGTGGAAACAACTGGAAGGGTTGCTCATGACGGAGTTGAATGTAGAATGCTGGTGGGTGGCCTATGCTCCTCCACAAGAGGTAACAGGAGTAAGTAAGTAATATTGTGGTATAAATTGAAATTAAATCAACCTACAAGAAGAACTGCCTAATGTAATTTTTCCTGGAGGTTTTTTCATTTCATATATTGGTTTTCTTCGAAACAGTACATCACTTAGCCTTTTTACAGTATACACATGTTTCGTTTTTTCTTTTATTAAATATATAAATCTATTCGATTCATTCATTCTACTGACCTAAAGAATTAGGCATTATCTAGTTGAGTAGGCTATGGAGATTAGTTCAATTAGAATATAGTCCAAATCATAAGTTATTATAATCTGGAAAACAACAGATAACTTGGGAGGATTTGACAGCTGCTTCGTTCTAGTATATGTCGAGGAGGGAGAAGGCGCTAACAATGAATGACGGTCACTCTACATTACAAATTGATTGTAGTTGAAAATATAGGTAATTAGATTCTAACTAATTGGTTTAAAGGTAACACGCTCATTGTGAAGCCTAAAGGTTCTGAATTAAATTTCTAGTGAGTTCGTGAATTTACAGTGTTTAAGATGAAATAGCTGTTCAGTGCTCTTTAGTTTCCATTGATTCCTTAGTTGATTTCAATCCCTAATAAAAACTGTTTCCATAAACGAAACTTGTGATTTGTGTCTTTGCATGTTTACATTATTAATTTAATTACAGTTATACTGCTTAAAGTGAAGCAAGAATTTACAATTCAACCGTACACGAAATGTTGGTCATGTTAAGAATAATTTGACTTCATTTTACGAAAACCATTATACCAAGTAAATCTTATCCATTTAAGAAACTTCAAGGGATCATTTGTTAGTAAACAGTAGTTTTTTGTACAAACTGTAACCACCTACTTAAGCACAATTACCGTATTGGCTGAAAACCATTTGATAATTCGAATTTTATAAATTTTACAAACCAACGCTACCATATATACTTTGCGAACTTCTCTTTAAAAGTTGGTCAATAAGCGGTACGAGAATGATAACTTTCATTTATTAAGTTCGGTTTAACTAATGCAACGAATTCGAATTTTCACACAGTGCCCATTTAAATTGCCTTCTATCTAACGTGTATACCATAAAAGGCGATACACAGTTAAATGAACGATTATTACCCTTAGCTGACCAGATGTTAAACTCTTATATCTGCAAAATATCGTACAAGAGTCAAATAGATCATTGGTAATCTTTAATTGTGAAACTGGGTGACATCGGTTTGAACTCAGTGATAACCATCAGTTCCTTCAAGAGTGAAAATACATCCTGATAACGACTGTGAATTAGCTCAAAACCTGAGTTCATATCATTTCGCTGATTACCTCCAGTCATCTAACAACAATCAATTAAAAATATACATTCCTCAAAATACAAAAATATATACTAACTTACTTTATGGACAAATACTGGCAAGCCTTGATCAACACCACCTTGTAATACAAATCCCCAGGATTTATCTGATGTTGCTCTGCGAAGACTAATTACTACTGGTTCAAGTGCCATCAATGTTATTATTAATGATTGTAATAATGATAATAATTACAAGGATATTAACACATTAACAATAATGGTTCAAGTAAAGAATCCTTCTACTAGAATATAAAATACTCGAAAGATTTTTGAATTTTCAATCTTTTATGTTGAATAGAGAAAAATGGATGGTTATTTAGATTATGAAAAAAATTTGTTACATTACTGTAACTCCTTAAAATTAGGGATGTTTTGAACTGACCAATCACTAACGCTGAAAGAGAGTGAAATTGAACATTTTGTTGTAGTTTTAATGACAAGAATAGCACAGTATAAGGTTTACGTGATTTTGCAAAGGAACATAATTTTACTGTCTAGATAGTTACATTACACCCTAACATTTTCATGATATCCCTACATAAAGTTATATTAATGTGTGGCTATGCATTTTATAAAGCACACAAGCAATTGTGTTAAGATGATTGGTTGATTAAATAATAAATAAAGTGGTCTGCCTTTTCTTATTGATTTTTGATTTAGGTCACACAGACTCCTAGAACATTGACTTCCTACATACTGGAAGATATGTGGAATCAATAACCTATTGCTGTGTTTTCTTAAGAATAACGATTTTTTAGTAATTAACCAATGTCTGAAATAATAAGCAGATGCGAATCCGGTTACTTCATACTTCACACTATATTTGCAATTCTGTGAAAATATTAGGTTGTTCTTAATGAGAAATAAATTTAACTAGCTATCACGAAGCAGATATGATTGCTAGGTTGATGTTTGTAAACAAGGGTAGTGCGTGATCCAGGGTTCGAACAATTGATCTTTTTACTTTATTGTAATAAAATAAATTTAGTTGTTTACCCCATAAAACAATCGGACAGAACACCTAGTAATCATAACGAAGTGGAGGTGTGATCAGTAATCATGTTCAGTAGCTGCACATATATTGTTCCTCGATGGAAAGGCTATACCATACAAGGATATCTAGAGAAATTTATCCATAGGTAGTCTACATAGAATTTACAAATGATGAGTCCTCTAATAAACATCCCTGTGAACGTTATAAAGAAAGTGACTCACTCCTTTACTTTGTACCTCTTGAAAAGCCCACAGAGAACAAATTAGCAAAGAAATCCCAATTTCCCTAAATTAATTGTTGTTAAGATTTACGCGTCATAACTAATCGTAAGAAATGTTGAACAAATCAGTTCTTATCCCAAATTATTGTATCAGTGTATAAACTAAGACTCCATAATGACGAACTGTTAAGAATCATATGGCCAGATCAATAAAACAAATATTCTATTTAGCCTTATTGCTAAATGAAAGATTGCCTTTAAGTCACAAGCATTATAAGCAAAGATGGATGGTGGCTAGCAGTGAAATCCAGAACGCGTATTTCGTTCTACTTAGGACTCGTCAGTTGGATGTATCTGCATCCTAGAGTTTATGTGTCACTCCAAGACTCGAACACAGTACCGTTCGTTTCAAATGCCACTTAGCTACTGGATCCTGATAGCCAATAACTTTTGCAATGCGGTGACAGATCAATTGCAGTCCTAATCATCAATGGGAAGATTCAAACAAACCATACAAAATGAAAGATTGTCTAGGAATTTCAAAAGAAAATATTATTTTTTTAACTTTCTAAATCCAATTCTTTTCCTATACGTTTAATTCGGTCAACTTAATGTGTAAAATTTTCTTAATGGTAAAATTGTTGTTATTAGGTAGAAAATATGCAATTGCTTGACAATCATTATAACCTTTTGTGCGTGAATCGATGTATTTACCTTCACAAAATTTGTTATTTTACATTAGTGCAATTATAAATCCAAATTAATATATTGAACAATCTAAAGTAAAAATTGTATACAATAACTTTTGTGATTTTGGTACTGTTAAGTTTGCTACTTCATTAACGCAGAATACGGTTTACGCCTACGACACTCGAACGTTGGAACTTCACCGTCTCAAATCAGAAGACAGAAGGAAAGCTCGAGAATCAAAATGTACAAAAAACCACGAGTATTTATAGATATCAGCATTTGTTAAATCAATATTATAATTCGGCCAATTCGCAGAGACAAATTATGCTACTGTCAACAGTAACATGCCACGGCATTCTAGAAAGCTCCGTCATGTTCAGATTGGTTGGAAACCTATCGGCTCCTTTAGGTCTCCTAGAGGCTCCATTGTAGTTCTCGGAAGCCGACTCATTAGTTACGCAATAATTAGTGAATCTATAAGGACTAACTCTGTTTATGTAAATTTCCCAGGTAATTTTAGAAAAAATTGATATAAAAAACTATAGTTCACATGAATTAGTGTATAATTATCCTGAAAGAATGTTAGATATTTTCCTTTTTTTCTAGTTGTTTATCATACGTACCGAAATGCGAGACTGTCCTAGCATTTTGCCTTTTTTTATCCATTGAACTACTAATAATAATGGAATGTGGATTGTCAGTTATCATGATTAAAATGTAAAATGTTTAGAATTATTTTAAAAACATACTTCTATAATAATCAGTTGCTCATCTATTACTTATACAATTAGTCGAAATTTTAGTGATTTGCTTTACTCTTACGTAGTTATAGCAGATAAATATATCGATTCATCTAGTACATTCAAAGTATATCGAAAGTATTTATATGCATCGAAAACATTTGACGATATCTTTTATAAATGCTGTTAAGCTTCGCATAGTCTTTTCCAGTTGCCTTATCATCCGTGAATGTGCCATAGACAAACCCCCGCACTGAGTCACCTTAATGTATATTGATGCATATCAGTAAATTAACTTAATATTGAAGACCAACTTAAAATGGATCTGAGTTGTCTATGTTAAATCCGGGAGAATAAATTAGAATTGTAGAAATGTTAGGGCTATCCTATATATATATATATATATTGTGTAATTATCAAATATTTATTGACTGGTATTTTTGCATTGTCATTTAATTGTTCGCATTAATTTACATAAAATACAGTAAATTAATTATGCATCTGTTACTCAGTTTTTCATCACAAATAACCTAATTATGTACAGACTGTAATTTTCGATTGGTGATATCATGTAGTTCTATAAGTCATCGGTATTATCATGTGAGTTATTAAATCATGAGAATAGAAAACAAATCGGTTAGCTGCACTCGTGTTCTGACTGGGCTTCGCCGAGGGGGGTATGAAATAATCTACGTGGACTACTAGGTGTTAAGACATCTGATCATAGTTGGTGATCATTGATGTTATTGGTCAGGTCATTAGTATAACTGGTATGAAGGGAACTCATCATTTGTAAACCCAATAATTTATCGATCCTATTCAGTGATTCATAACAGTATAGCAACTAATTTACAAATATTTTTTTCCTTTGTCATCAGTTGCGCCAAGTGTTTTTGCGCCTAATCTTGTTGTGACTTTCCCACCAGTCAATGATCACTTGAAAAAATCGTCAGTCAGAATACCGACTTAAATGACTTTGTTCTTATGCTAGGTCAACGGCACATCAAGCAGAACTAGCAGCCAAAATTCAACTCCAAATCCTTACTAGTCTTCTTGTCTAGCCCAGCCTGTTCAGTCCAGAACACAATCTCAGTATCCACTGTTCGAATCGTACATTTCAGACATACGTGGTTTATATACACGAAGACAAAACCGCATTTCACCATCAAATGAAAAATAATAATTATACAAGATCAACAGAAAAGTGGCTGTGTATTTGTTCATTACAGTATTTGTGTTCATGTACTCATTCAGTGACTGAAACCAGCAACATTCCAGATAGGAATGGTAAGCCGAAACCCAGTGACCACATTAAAGTGAGTTTACTTACAAACCTGATTTTAATGCCTAAATAACCATAAAAGGCTATTCATTACAGTTCTATCTAGCTATCTAGCTTACTACAAAGAATATGTCGTAAATAATTATCAGATATTCAATGTTATCAACTGGGGTGATACTGAAAATGTATCTCTATAAGGTAAATAACAGGTGAGTGTGAAAGTTAATTGAGGATGGATTATTACGCCTTTCAAAAAAATTGTTATGGTCTATATAGTTGTATTATTTTTAATAAATGAAAATAACGTGGACCGAAACTGAACCAATTTCTTAATGTCATATAATTTTAACACTTAAAAATGATAATCAGTTTGTTTGTACTAAATAGGATTCAATATTTAGAAATATTTAGTTAGTATATTACTATAATAATTATTTTGTGGGTCAAACCTTTTGGTCAAAGGCTCCGGTTATGGCCCCCCTAAGAAAACCACTTGTTTTAGTTTGGGTACGCGGACAGTATCCCAGCCCTCACACAAATCGAATGATTTTTGTGGTGCATATATATTTGGTGCCTCGTTGTACCATTGTTTATGTGTTTAAATAAATAAACGCTTCATATTTACTTTTCATTCATTTTTTTTCTCTAGAAATATTTGCTGAAACTCTCTTTTGGATAATAGAAGAGAAACACATTCTAGATGCTTATTTAAAACAAGCTTACATGTATCTTTTAGAATATGGTCATTTGTGTGGAAAGATAAAAGAATTCATCAATAAACCACTTCTTTTTCAAATATGATCAATTGTATTTTCAATCTTATTATTTTATAGCATAGATTGAACCCGTAAAAATTGAAATGATCTATCTTTATGATTTTTTTCAAGATCATCCTCTAGAAATTTAAAGATTTACGATTATCGATATGAATATACCAAGAATGGAAAAAAAATTCCAGCATAAAATAATGGTGGGAGCAAAACTTTAGTTATTTTTCCTTCCCCACTTTCTGATTCTCATAAATATCAACGAGAATTCTCTTTCCTTTGGTCAATGTTTCCTCTTTAGTTTCAGTCCATCCTTCACATTTCTAGAACATTCGCAAAATAATATTAACTAACTCCGAAAAAACCCTTTGATTCAAACGAGAACGTGTGACTAGTAGAGTTAACCTATGTAGAGATCAATACAAATATTATTGGTGGTAATAAATGGAGGCCGTGTTTT